TAAGAGCACCCGCAGGGATACTAGTGGCTGGTTGTCCACCGGTGGTAGTAGAGGTCCTCGTGGTTGAGGGAGACGTGACAGGAGTGGTGGGGGTAGTGAAAGAAGTTTGGGGCCGCGTGCTCGTAGTCGAAGCAATTAGGCATTGGGAGTACCCTAAGCATAGTTTTAGTGACAGGTAAGAATCGCATAAAATTGAATTTTACAATCGTTAGAGTATACGCATGTTAAACCCGCAGCACATTTCTTATCACCATTATAGTTTAGTCCTCCGCCTGTGGGAGATTCAAAAGGGTCAATTTAATACGCCAACTTAGTAAGACCGCTTACACTGCCCCCATTGGGGAACGTCAGCAAGGACGGAGGTAGCGAGGACTACCAGGGCAAGAATACCAGAAGCGATCATCACAGGGCCAAGAGAATCGGTTGGGCACCAATGTCGATGTAGGTGTAGTTTATATAGGTTTCCAGGTTGACCTCGATGCTGGAAAATCTGAGCGACAATATTGGAAACATCCCAGTATTCACATGATATACTCAGAATGGACAGAAGTTCTTGCGGAAGAAGAACGATGATGTCCTAGAATCCGCGTCTGTGAATGGACCTTGGTGTAGGGAGGTTACTGGTCAGTTAAAATCACAGGTAACGAGTTTTCGAGTGACCAGGAACAAGAGTTCATTGAGTTTTAAGGAAAAAAAGAAGGCGAATGGTCCCTGACCAAGGCGTGGCTTCGATCACGCGTTGTAATCACCATTAACCTGGTCTTCTAAAACTATCATCCACGTTTTGAACGCCACTTTCTAATGAGAAGTTGGAATTTCCGGCTGGTGGCTGTGGTGAAAATGAGGTGGTGTCGAAGGATCAACGACGGGATCACGGGGATACTTGGGAGGTTATGAGGTTGGTTGCGGGGAATTGACTTACTCCAGATTTTCCATAAAAGAATTCATCTACATGTTCGGAGATAAATGTGAAAGATTGACTCTGTTGATGTTTGCTGTGAATTCTTGACCAGAAGCAAAACCTCGGGAGCATTTGGGAATCCTAATTCAACCAATCTTGTCTTCTCCTATAGCTCTTTACCCAATTCTAGGTTCTTCCGGTAAATTTTTGAATGCTTAACTATGACTTGTTCGGGACTTTACGGGTAGGGAGGGGCAGGGTCGGTGGCAGAACATTTAGACTATTTCTCTGATAAAGATGCCCTGGGGATTAATGTATTGTTATACCGCACATGATCCTCGACAGAATATGGTTCATTAACTAACCTGTAGACATGTACAAACGGAAGCACCAACACCTGCTCCACTACCCTCCTTCCCTGTATTCGCTCCGTCCGACTTGTTCCTACACAACCCGCACGCGACCGAAGCTATACACGTGCTTCTAATTCACTACTCATCGTTGCAAGAGTGTGAAATCCAAATCTCCTGGTATTTGCCTTATCATAGACAGATCTCGTTCATCGGAAGTACAATCATGGCTATAGTCGTAAATTGTAAGTGATGCGCTATTCATCGTCAATTTAAGCATATTTTCTCATCCAATCATTACAAAGTCTCCCTCCTCATGCGAGTCAGCGCTCTCTGGTGTCATCAAGTCCCAGTCGTATGGTTCGCAAGATTGCTCTTTATTCTCAACACCCTCAGCCAATTTATCCTACTTACATACAACTACTCTATTGCTATCCTATTGCCCAACACTCCCCCTTTCACTATGATGCATCTATAGTAGTAATATACAGTGAACAGAGTAGAGTCTATGAAACGAATGTTAGTATAGATATTTACCCGAGACACTAGGTGGGGAGAAAAAAGGCTATCTGAACATTGGGACCTATATCCTAGTCCATGCTTGATGAGAAAAGCGGCTGGACCCGAGCCTAGACTCCATCTTAAGGTACTTCCTCCCGAGAGTCGTACGGCATGATGGTCGTGGAGCCATTTTTGTAGGGTCATAGAGAAGGGCACTTGCCGAAGATATAGCCCGCTTCATAAGGTGGACAGTTCTGTCGATAGGGGGTCTTGGGTATCTCGCTTCTTGCTGTTATACCAGAACTCTCCCCTAACTTGGCGGGCTCTCTTGAGATCGTTGTGCGAGAATATCCTTGCAGATACCGTTTCCATTGAATCTTCTTCGTCCAAGGCCCCTTGTAGTAACATCTCAAGCTGTATGAAGAGACGATTACAGGTGATCCCCACGACTACAATCGGGGAATAAGACATCATGATTGGGAGGGAGACGGAAACGTCGACGGGGGCGAGTATAGCAACAATGCAAAGGATTTGGACCGCCATGATACAGAAATAGTAAATCAACCCATCTCGTAATAGAAGACTCCAAGTTGCTCTTCGTCCTCAACTTTGTCCTCCAAACTGCAATGCTCTCGTACAATTATGCCACCTCCTTCATAATGCCAAACTTTCCACCATTCACTGGGTGCCTCTTCCTTTCCAGCTTCTCTAAACTCTATATCATATTCATCTCCGGGATCGTATTCGATACATGCATGATCACCCTCACCGTCATTCGGTCCTATCCCATGGCACGTGACCAAGGGATCCGAATGTCGTTATGGACGCTCTTACTGCGGGATGGCCTCATCTATTACTTTTGGATCATCGCCGCACAAATTCTCTCCCTCATCATTTCGGTTGTCCCTGTCGATATCTCGGTTTCCATCCCGATTATGTCTTGCTATCCACCCCTCATTGTCGTCGGCATTGCAAGCAACCGTCTCTTCATCCGTCTAGAGATGGTTCTTCAAGGAGAAGCCAGCGAAGAAGCTACAACAGACATCGTATCGGCTAGGATATTCTCAGACGCCAACACCGGGAGAGTCCGCAAAACTTCGAGAGCATTTGATTATAACGGGAGGAAACGAAACCTTCGGGACCCGTTTTCTACGGAACTATCTAATCTATAAATCGACAAAAAGACGTATTCTCCACAGCATCACGATATACCATTCTATATTGCCAACGCGAGGTCCACATGAACTCTGGACCCAGGCCGCCTCATACGCCCATATAGTCTAATCCACCCATCTTCATGATCAACCACGTCATAATTTGTAAATATAGACCATCATATACGCCACAGGGACGTCTTGTGTGAAGTCTCTTCAACCCTTTACTTTGATGTGATAATTATCTCGCTTTCTTGTACCTATCAGTTAAAAGATTTGTAATGAATGACCCCCTTATTGGCTCCAGTGGATGTCAGACAGCTTGGCGTAGGGCAATGACGGCATCTAGGTACATAACCCGTTTTATGAATGCAGTTTCTGAGATATACATCCAGTTAGGCACTGCGTTTAGATCGAGACCACCTAGTTTCCAGCAATATTCGAGTGAACTTTCTCGTTTCCAGAAACGCCTAGCACGAAAGAGCCAGAGGCCGGTCTTCGCGGCTGCCTCGGTTTGATCTTCAGAGACTGTATTTTAAGTGCGGAATAGTTGTGTAAGTTTTACTTTGGCAATCGGCGCCCTATAGGCCTATCGTGTTCCAGCCAACGAAGCTCAGCATCTCGACCTCCGTGAATTTCGCCTTTTCGAACGGCGCCATTTAGTCGTCCAAGGCTAAATAACCTCGTCTATCGGGGCACATAGCCACTTGTTCGGAAGGTCACCGAAAGGTCACCATCACTCTCAAGTTCACTAAAAACAGGAACTCAGATCCCTCCCCCATCCCCGTCTTCTCTCTCGACCCACGACAATCCGCACAGGCCTGGTCGCCGTGCCCACAATAAGAAATACGCCTAATCTTCGATGTGAAAAAGGAGGAGAAGGACTATAGGTTGATTCTCCTGACAGAACCTCCACGGCGACTAACCCAACCATGAGCGAGGTCGATTTGGCCACCTCCGACTCAATAATGAATGTCAATCTACCTCTTTTATCCGCACATATCACTGCTAAACGCATAATTGGTGAGGGCTATATTCCCCTATACCTGCTTTCTCTAAATATACTTTTTCGTACAACGAAACCCGCTATCCGATTGACGTTCTGATGACTTCGATGGGCGCGCCTAGTCTCTTTCTTGACATGGACGATCTATGAAATGTGTTTGTACCAAATTCTCTTACAGTTGGCATACGAATGACGAGCGGATCTATGCTATACCCTGAACCGGCCTACGCCAGTGATCACCCAGGAACGCCAAGTACGTTACCAGCGTATTCTGCCCCATTATTACGCTTACCAAGAGCGTATCTAAATAGGCATCGCTTTTCTCAAATCAAGGATGGAGTAAAACCAAGGTCCTATTTCTCTTGGTCGGTGTCTTATGCAACTGAATTGATCCGCCTTTAACCTCGCCAATAGAATCGGTACTCTGCCTTGATCACCATGGGTCTCCTAACTGCTGGCAAGCAATTCTTCACATTGTTAGCCTACTGTGATGCTGATAGATTACATTGAAGAAATTCTTGTAATTAATCCTTCCACCACTGTGAGTATTCTTCGGCTGTTGAATTCCATATGCTCAAGTTGGATCCATCACGTCACGCGCCCTTGTTCCCATGACTCGTGAACAGTTGTAAGCATTCCCCTAACGATATGGTTGGCCATACATTCTAATCTTTCCAACCCAGCTGCAAAGTCTCTCCTTGGATCTCGTTCATCGGAAGTACAATCATGGCTATAGTCGTAAATTGTAAGTGATGCGCTATTCATCGTCAATTTAAGC